TAATATTATTAAATATATTAAATATATTATATTATTAAATATATTAAATAAATAATATTATTAAATATATTAAATAAACATATATAATACAAAAACCGGTTTAGAAAAGAGGGAAGAAAATGAAAAAGAAAAAAAAAGTGAAATCCGTTTTTCAGAAAACAGAAAACGAAAACAAGAAAATGAAAACACCTTTTTTTCGTTTTCTGATTTTCATAAAAAGACAAAAACGTTTTTAGTTTTGTTTTTTAAAAAAAATTACACCAAACACGTTTTTAACACCCGTTTTCATTTTTTTGCTTTGAAAACCGTAAAAAACGAAAACGAAAACGCAAACAAACGGGCCCAATTGGCACTGGATCACCCGATTGGTTGTTATTGGCTCAGTATGAATACTAACTCATTTCTTTATTGACTCATTTTTTAAGCCTATCCTGGCCTTATATAAATCCCAACATAGACTCCATCACAACCCACTGGTTTTTGTCAAAAAAAAAAAAAAAGAAGGAAAAAAAAAAACCACCAGTTTTGTCACCATAACCAATCAAACAATGGAAGATCCCATAATATTATACACATCCCTTTCCCTCATCATCCTCCTAATAGCTCTCAAGCTCATCCTCCAAACCCAAACCCCAAAAAAGAACCTCCCACCAAGTCCACTGGCTCTTCCGGTCATCGGTCACCTCCACCTCCTGAAACCCCCCATCCACCGCACCTTCCACCGCCTCTCCCAAAAATTCGGCCCCGTTTTCTCCCTCTGGCTTGGCTTCCGCCGCGTCGTCGTCGTCTCCTCCCCCTCCGCAGTCGAGGAATGCTTCTCCAAAAACGACGTCGTCCTCGCCAACCGCCCTCCCCTCATCATGGGGAAGTACATCAGCTACAACCACACCACCATCGTCGCCGCCCCCTACGGCGACCACTGGCGCAACCTCCGCCGCATCGGCACCCTCGAGATCTTCTCCTCGGCGCGTCTAAACAACTTCCTCGTTTCTAGAAGGGACGAGGTCAAGCGCCTGCTCCGGCGAATCTCCGTGAACTCGCTTCGAGCCTCCGGAAAGGTCCAGCTGAAATCGGTTTTTCAGGAGCTGACGCTGAACATCATAATCAGAATGGTCGCCGGGAAGAGGTACTACGGTGAAGACGTGGCGGACGAGGATGAGGCGACGAAGTTTCGGGAGATCATGAAGGAGGTTTTCGAGAATGGTGGGGCCGGGAATCCCGCCGATTTCTTGCCTATTTTGAATTGGATTCCGGAAGGTTACGAGAAGAGAATCAAGAGGCTGGCGAAGAGGACGGACTCTTTTCTGCAGAGTTTGATCGAGGAGCATCGGAGTAGGAAAGAGAGTAAGAACACCATGATTGATCATTTGCTTTCTTTGCAGGTGTCGCAGCCTGAGTATTACACCGACCAGATTATCAAAGGCTTCGTACTGGTTAGTAGATAATTAATATGTTATATATATATATATTGTATATATCTTTAACCGGAAACCTGAGTTTGCTATACATGATGAAGTGGGGAGGATATATACATTGAAACAATATAAGCCCTTCAAAGAAAATTATAGTCCACACTAAATCTATCATGAGTAGGCAGCATTCTAAAATCATATTTTCCTTTTTTGTAGAAAAAGTTTTCATCGCGAATTGCTTTTTCAATTTTTGATTACATAATTAGAAAGGTGAATTTTGACCTCATTTATTTCGCTCGACTTTAAAATTTAAATTTTATTAAGTAAAAATTTTTTAAACATAATCGTATTTAATTTTTTTGTTACAATAAAAAATTTTCACACAACATCACATCTCAACTCAAATTAAAAACTCAAATTAACAAATTAAACGCCCAAATTATTTTTCCTCGAAATGTTATCATTGTTTTTGCAAGACTTTTTGACTATTTTTTTTAAATAGGCTTTTTGACCATATATTTCGGTTGTACACATTTCTTTTGCACATCATTGCAGGGCATGCGTGTTTTTTTTTTTTTTTTTTTTTTTAAGTGGCATTTTTGTTCAATATTTGGTATCATCACTCCCAATATATGCGGGTCAGACCCGTAGGACGGGGCACCATTTACGCCCCCAATTGACATCTCTAATCATGCATAACATAAACATGCATGTGTTGATGTTATGTCCTTTACTGAACAAATTAAATAGCAGCAAACAAACTAGAGCAAGAAACCAAACCAACCAAGAGCAACCAATTTTGACTAGACTCAGTCAGATTTATTTGTGGTTTTTCTTCACGGCACTATGCCAAATTCCAGAAATGGGTGACCATTTGATGGGACAGTTAGATTGACTTGTGGGCAAAGGCATCATCCGACAATTTCTGTTGACTATCGCTCCTTGTTTCTAGATTTCTTTTTTTATTACAAAAATTTGTCCTATATGCAGATATTGTTATTGGCCGCAACGGATACATCAGCGGTGACGCTAGAATGGGCAATGTCCAATCTGCTTAACCATCCCAACATCCTTAAAAAGGCTAAAGCCGAATTGGATGCTCAAATTGGTCAACAACAATTGGTCGAAGAGTCGGATCTCTCAAAACTAAATTACCTCCAAAACATCATCTCCGAGACTCTTCGGCTATATCCAGCGGCTCCAATGCTTGTACCTCACTACTCATCCGACGACTGCACCATCGGTGGATACGACGTGCCACGTGGAACAATACTATTGGTCAATGCGTGGGCGATACATAGAGACCCCAAGTTGTGGGACGATGCGGAGAGTTTTATACCCGAGAGGTTTGAGAATGGGGAGAGCGAGAGTTACAAGCTATTTCCATTTGGGCTTGGAAGGAGGTCTTGTCCCGGAATAGGCCTGGCCCAGCGTGTTGTGGGCTTGACTTTGGGCTCGTTGATTCAGTGCTTTGAGTGGGAGAGGACTAGCGAGGAAGAAGTTGATATGGCTGAGGGTAAAGGGCTCACAATGCCCAAAGTAGTGCCATTGGTGGCCGTGTGTAAAGCACGGCCCATTATGAACGTTGTTCTCTCTGAAGCCGTTGATGATATTTAGTTGAAGGAAAAATATAAGATTGCTGTTGTAATTTTCATGTAAGAAACATTTCGAGTATCTAGGTAAGTACTGAAATACTGCATTGATCATTTTCAACTTTTTTTTTTTTTTTTTTTTTTTTTTTTTTACCGTGTGTTCAGGCAATATTATCTGTATTTTTATTCTTTACGACTAAGACATCGAAATAGATTTTTACTCTTGGCTTTTCTATTCATTATTCGTTTTCACTTTTCATGAAACACAAATATATCAATCTATTGTATGCACGCTCAAATAATAGCACAAATCACATATGTATATCTCACCTACATCTAGCAATACCTAAGTTTCCAAGCTCAAATAGTTAGAGTTGGCCTTGCTATTTAGCATTAGTTTTTAGTACGAGAAATTCCCTCAAAAGTCTAGATAAATATGAATCCGTGGCTAATGAAAATAGAGACATTGGTTTCTCTCTCTTACCTTTTTTTTTTTTTTTTTTTTTTTGCTCTTTTGGGTTGTTGCCAAAGACCATCATTCTAATTATTAAGAGCTCGTTAATTTCACCAATTCGAGTTTTTAATTTTAAGTTTTTACAGTTAAAATTTTTTAAAAAATATCACATTTAATTTTTTTTATTACAGTTAAAAATTCTCAGAAAATATTATATCTCAACTCAAATTAAAAATTTGAATATGTGAAGCGTCCAAGACCTTTGTAATTAAAATTTGTCCAACCTCGAAGTAGAATAATGCTGGAATGTCACGTGGTAGCAGTTGAAATGGATAAGAACAATGTCGTAGAAGTTGGTGCTTGAAGTTTTCAAAATCCACATTTTTATATGCAACAATTAAAAATTCCAAGCCTAAATCAAACGCATCCTCATTTAATATTCTTTACCATTATAACGACATATATATATAAAACTATCACCCAACATTCATAATTCACCTTCTGTGTATGCAGTGCAGATCTAAGAGATCTCGCTCCGATTTGGCTTTGAGGAGATGAAAATCTGATCATCATAACATACAAAAAGAGAAACCCATCTTCAGATTTTTCTTCTAAATTCATAGCTTTAGTTGCATGATCAAAACAATTATTAAAAAACAAAAAACAAAAACAAAGTAATGATCTAATTAAGCCAAACCTGATCTTCATCAATCTTGGGAACCCAGTCATTCGTCGCAGGATTGCTTCTATAACCCCCAGGCGCCGTCCCAACCCCACCAAAATGGCCTTCTCGCAATTGAATTACTTGATCATCCCCTTCTTCACTCCCTTCTTTCACCACCTTTATAAACCCACTTCCCGTCTGCCCAATTAAACAATAAATTAAATTTCAGAAAAAAAAAAACGAACAAAATTTGATTTTTTTTCCTTCTTCTTAATCATATGTATCTCACCGTATGATGCTGTTTATCAATAGAATCCAACTCTCTGTAGTACTGAGTCTCCACAAACTCCTCTGTCACAGTTGTATCTCCTTCATCGGAGATCACAACCTATATATACATATATAAACACAAACCAAACGTTTAAAGCAACCCAAAACAAAAAAAAAAACAAAAAACAAAAAAAAGGAAATTAAGTTGAAAGTTAAGGACTTGAGATTGAGCCTGGAGAGATCGGAGCTTGTCAAGTTCAGGAATGGTTTGGTCGATTGTGGTCTCAACTGGGCTCGGTGACAAAGAGAGATCAGGCTCGCTTCTGTTGGGCTTGGTGGGTCGTTTTGGTGCCATGGAGTCGAACTGGGCTCTGATCTGGCTCGTGATCTTCAGCTGCTGATCCGAATCCAACACCTCGTCGCTTCGGCTTGGCTTGGTCGCCGTCAACTGCCCCACCATGGTTGATAGAGAGATGGTTTGATGAAATTTGGTTCTTCCTTGGTGACCTTTTGGAAAACTCAGTTCAGTTTTGTCGTTTCTCTGTCCTTTTTTTATTTGCTTTTCTGAAAGTCTGAAACTAATAAACTATGGGCGGCATGTGATGAAACCACTGGCCTGTTTTTGGGTCGTGCGATTCGTGTCCAACCAACGTTACAAAATGTGTGGGCTTAGAGGGCATTTCGGACTTTCTGGAACTTTAGAGAGGAAATGCCTGCTCCCTAATCACGTTTTCAGGTAAAATTTATGGTCGGAAGTGTACTTTTACTCTATCGATACTCGTACATGATGTTGTTTTTACGGTTATAATAATTTTCAATGGTTTAATTTATAATTAGAAACAGTTTTACATTGTGAGTTAATTTTTTAACATGAATGTTATCAGATTGTTTAAAAATAAATCCAATAATTAAAAGAACAGAGTAAAAACAATTCCCTTTGTAAAAGTTGCCATGTTTTGAATTGAAAGCGGCAATAAAATAAAACGTTTCCAATTGATTAAATGTAATTGAAAATGTTGATCAATTGGAAACGTTCATATATAAAAGAATGGTATGCTCTCTTTAGTTTGGCATATAGTCCAGAGGATCAAGATCCCAGTACTTATTAGGAAAAATATTGGGATCCCATTATTATCATATATCAAAAAATGACACTACGGAGGACATGGATAAAAATGACTCAAATGTGTTGTTTAATTTTAGTGTCTTAATTAACATTAATTAATTAAATTATATTACGTCGTATAAAAAATTTAAATTACTTTATAATTAATTCTTTTATGTTTATTATAAAATGATGTAGTATGATTTAATTAATTAAGCATCAATTAAAACGAAGAACGTTCAATAATTTAGAAGAAATTACAAGGAATTAAATTTTACTAGAGTAGGGATTATGACACCTTTCTCTACGTCAGGTTCACATAAAACCTTTTTTTTTTTCCTTTTTAAACCTTCATTCTGTTTCGTCTAAATACCGCTTTTATCCTTTTAATCATATAAATATCTAAATTACCTGTGTACTCCTTTAAAATATTATATTTATCCCTCGCGTTTCCGAAAATAGTCTAAAAATAATTCTTTACCCCACATTTGACTGGTCTAAATTTTAAAAATATTGAAACTATTTTCAGTAAGAAAAAAAAAGATTTTAAGTCTCGTTTAATTTATAGATTTGAGTTTTTAATTTAAATTGAGATATAATTTTATGTAAAAAAAATTTTATATAATAAAAAAATTTAAATGTGATTTTTTATGATAATTTTATAAATGTAATAAAATTAAAATTAAAAACTCAAATTGATAAAATAAGCGGATCTCACGTAGGATGGTCTTGTGAGGACAGTTTGTTTGTTTTTTTTTTTCTTTTTTTTTTTTTTTGTATAGAGCTAGCAGGGAGTGAAGACGGATTCTGTGACGGTGGATCCTCGGGGGAGGGACTACTTTGCCAATAAGGGAAACTTGGTTTTTTTTTTTTTTTTCTATGGATTTGTTTTCATTTTTTTTTTTTTCCTTTTGAGGGGTTTCCAAGTCTTAAGATATATTTTATTTAATGTTTTATCTTATTAGTTTTTTAAATAGTATTTACCGTTTTGAGAAGTATTTTTTACTTTAAAAAATATTAATCGCTTCCATTGTATTTTGTGACTGATTTTATAAAAACAAAGATATATTCTTGCTTCGTATAACAAGAGGATTATTTTAGGTACTTTCCCTTACAAAGAATCGATGGTATTTTTAGTATTTTTAAATTTTTTTATTTTTATTTTTATTTTTATTTTTTTATATGTCGTAGAGTCCATGGCTCCACTTTACTATAAGGCATCGTGAAACTTTGATATGGTGGCAACAGTGCATGGCGAATCCCACCATTGCGGCCTCGGCGCAAAGATATCTGAATCAATCGACATGTTTGGAGTCCGATAATGAGTTTGAAGGTGGATCTGAAACAGGATATTGAATGGAGAATGAAACTACGAATTCTGGTTTTGATCTGCGGAAGAGAATGAAACATGATTGTAGAGAGAGAAAGCACAGATAGAGACAAGGCAACAAGAAAGAGACCCAAGTGTTTTTCAGAGAAAATAATCAGTAGGAGAAGAATCCTAATTTCTACCCAGGTTTTTCCAGTACACAAACACTCGGCCATGTTCATTTTGTTGATTCGAGTTTTATTACAGTAAAAAGCTCTTACAAATAATCACATCTAATTTTTTTACTACAGTAAAAAACTTTCACATAAAATTATATCTCAACTCAAATTAAAAATTCGAATCAGCGAACTAAACGGGCCCTCAGAATCCTCACTTTCTCTCTCTACAATCTTGCTTCTTTCTCAGAGTTTCTTTCACTAGAATGTGAGGAGGAAAAGATACTGAAGAACGTCTAAAGTCTCCAATTGCAAGATTGACTTAGAGTGCTTGGTTTAAAGATTTGTGATATTGTTTAAATTATAATTCGTAATTTATTATAGTATTTTTTTAAAAAAATATATATATAAATTAAAAATAATTTTAAATTATAATTTTGAATTTATTAATTAAATATATTTTTATATATTTAAAAAAAAATAAATTTATATATTATTTAGACCAATCATAAAAAAGCCTTCCACGTATAGTCACATGATTGGACTTAAGAACTCTTCTCTGGCTCTTCCCTAAATGACGTGTCGGTAACTGAGGATAAATATTCTTCTCACTTATGCGCACTGCCATTTAGTGGAATTGCTTTCATAAACTTCATCACTATTTTTCTCCCGTAGAAAATAATACATTTATAATATCGTGATTTTCCCTCGGATGGGGAAAAAAATAAAAATAAAAAGCTTCCGTTAAGTTCAATATGTTATGCTATTTAATTAAATATTTTACCATCAGCAAACTCTAGAAATTATTTGGAATTTAAGTTAGGCTATTTCTTATCAAACAATACACCTCAGGAAACTAAAGTACCAAACTCAAATATAAAAATCCAAAATCAAATAAAATTCATAATTCAAAACCTATCCTGCATTATAGCGTTTATTACAAAAATCTCTTTTCTAACATTATTTTATTTTCAAATGTAAATTACAAGCATATACCATATAATACAATTAGATTTTTTTCTAAATCTCGCCCCTATTAAATTTCTGGGGCTAATTAGAAATGACTTTAAATTTAAGGACATCGGCGACAAATTCATAGCCGACTTAGGCAATTGCCGAAGGCCCTACTTCAAAACAGGGACCCACTTATCTTTTTCTTTTGTAGTTATTATTCAATTTAATATGTTAAATTAAAGTTTCACAGAGTAAAAGAAATAATGACTAAGTCAAAAAATTTTGAGAGTTGGAGCAAAATAACCCAATTTTTCTACTCAGAAAATAACCCAATTCTTAAGTATTATTGGAGTTAAATGTTAAAAAGGTTCCTAATAATAATAAATTGTCCTAATTATGCACTCAAATAACTTTTTTTTAAGATATTGTTTTTTTGGGAGATATCTAACTCTTTTCTTTTATTATATAGTAGTGCTCTAATTACCTTAACAAGGTCTCTTATACATCAAATTAACTTTTATTCTCTCAATTATTATTAATGCTTTAAATGGTGTTCCATTCAAATAAAAAAGTGTAAATAGTTTTAGATTCTTGTTCAGTTCTGAGAGAGAGAGTCTGGACGAGGTTTTCTTTGAGCTACTGAGATCATGACTAGTTAGATCAGATCGGCAGCACAAGCCGGGATATATTGCAACGCCGTTCTGCGGTTCCATTATGAAAATAGGAATACTAAGAGAGTGTTCTCTTTATTATACTTATGTATCTTTATATATATATATATATATATATACACATTTTGTAATTTATCTATTTTGTAATTATCTAACAATATTTGTTGCAAATATTGAGAATTGATCTCGAAAGTTATTCAAGACTTGGGGATTAACTTGGATATTATAGCTTGTTTCACAACAGTGCATACCAAGCAATCAACAGTTTAGCAACTTGGTTGGTAAGATATTTATTTAACGAGTTTAATCAATTTTTATACGGAAAAACAGGTTCAATCTGTTTGGATTGTTTTTTTTTTATCAATCAATATTTCTCCATTGGTTATTAGAAGAGCGTATATGATGTTAACAGTTTTAAGATATTGCTTTTGCAATACGTTTTCTACCATGTTCATTAGCACAACTTGTGTTCAAATTAGAACTCTTCATATTTCTTCCATTCTTATGGACATCTTTTATCCTTCACATAGAATGTATTTTTTTAAACGGGAATCGTTTTTGGATTTTTTTATTAAGTTATTTAATTTTTTTTTTCAGATTAAGTTTGTGTTTGATATTTTTTTTTTAAAGTAGTATTTGACTTTGAAAAATCACATGTAGAGGGTATCTTCTCATGCCGTAGCCGCCTTTAAAATTTTTTTTGGTCATATATATAGGAAATGAAGGAATTATGGCATACCTTGTATTGATTGTGAACAGAATTATATATAGAATACAACTATCCTATTCTAGGTAAGATCCTTGATTGAAGGATTTTACAAATCAATTACTCATCATCAAAACTAAGAAACTAAATCAGATTTTCTAAACTAGGAAGATAATCAACAAAATCAATTACAACGATAAGGACGTAAAATACAAGATTATGTAGATTCTCCAATATGCCCCCGTAAGATGGAGCTCCGAGAGGAGAGGCCAATCTTGAAACGTAGCTTGAGAAACAACTCAGGAGGTAGGGGCTTAGTGAGTGCATCAGCCAATTGGTCATCTGATGATACGTGAGCAACTCGTAGAGCACCGCTTTGAACTTGATCTCAAATGAAGTGGTAATCTATAGCAACATGTTTCATGCGAGAGTGAAAGACCGGGTTGGCACAAAGGTGTGTCTCACCAACATTGTCACAATAGATCACTGGTGCATGTGGAATAACAACACCAAGTTCAGTTAGAAGTGAGCACACCCAACTTAACTCAGCAGCAGTGGCAGCCACAGATCGATATTCTGCCTCCGTCGAGGAACGATCTACTATTCGTTGTTTCTTTGAACTCCAAGAGATTGGATTGTGCCCAA